GACTAGCTGCCTTCCCTCTAGTCTTACACTGCTAAATTAGGGACGGCTAGCGCAGATAGCCCTCGTGTAGCTTTGCGCGAAATTAAAAAAAACAAAAACAAACAAAGGCTAAGCTTCGGTACTGATACATTAATCTAGAAAAAAACCGTGGTTGCAATGATGAAGCGCGTATATTTCTTAATCGCGAGACACAAATTAGCGGTACAAAAAAATGTGGACACGCGGGACACAATCTAACGGTGATCTGTCGAATAATTTTATTAACTTATTAATAAAAGCAAAGACCACACTATATCTACCATATCCAGTGCCGACGTGGCCTTTCGCTCAATACTGGAACTCTTCAGGCCGGCTGGGATACGACAGACGTTGTTAGTGTTCTGTGCGCTACTAGTATTGCCAGTTTTCATGAATACTGACTGTTTTCGTGTGAAGTAGGTTAAGTAAGTGAATTATAATTATTAACAATCTTATTTATGTCATTTACAATTCATATTTTAGAGCTAATATTAATATCACATTATTATTTATTTATTTTATTTGAATTAACTTTACTATCATTCAGAAGACCTGGTGAACCAGTAAGCTAGTACTATGGCCAGATGAGGAACACTCGTCATTTTAAAAATAATTTACCGTCAGCTTATAATTATATGAAGTTAAGTGATAAAAATAGCTGTACAAGATGCAGGAGATTAAAGATTTATGTACGTAACATCAACTGGGAGCATGAACCACGGTATCTAAGTATGGTCGTGTTTTTAATACAGTACATAACAATGGCTTATAAAGATGCGGACGCCTACGTGTAGAGTTGGAAAGTCTTTTCGGCCTCCAACACAGCATTGTGTACATCTTCATGTAAACTATACATGCGTTTTCTGTATTTTTCATCATTCATCCATTTATAAGCCATTGGGGCCAGCATTAGTGTGCTGTGTTCTTCGTCATATCAAACAGCAGCATTTTTACTCGGTCTCTGATTGGTCATTGGTTGCATTTTATCGGCAGCCATCGTTAAATATACTTCCATCACTACACTTAGCATGAACAAACTTTTCTAGCATTCACTAAGAATGCAATATTTAACAGGTAATAAGACTCCTTGTGATCACACGGAATTTTTGACTACGTGAAACGTTTCGTGTGTCATAAACCCAATGGTTCTCAAACTTTTCAGGTTCATGTATCACATTTTATGTACAAATCTAGGCTTAAGTACTAACAAAAACTAATATTTTGAAGTACAAATCTAGGCTTAATTACTAACAAAAACTAATATTTTGAAGTACAAATCTAGGCTTAATTACTAACAAAAGCTAATATTTTGAAGTACAAATCTAGGCTTAATTACTAACAAAAA